CTCCTTCTCCTTCTCTTCCACCTCCTCCTCCACCTTCTCCTCCTCCACCTTCTCCTCCTCCTCCTTCTCCTCCTCCACCTTCTCCTCCTCCTTCTCCTTCTCCTTCTCTTCCACCTCCTCCTCCACCTTCTCCTCCTCCTCCTTCTCCTCCTCCACCTTCTCCTCCTCCTCCTCCTCCACCTTCTCCTCCTCCACCTTCTCCTCCTCCACCTTCTCCTCCACCTTCTCCTCCACCTTCTCCTCCACCTTCTCCTCCACCTTCTCCTCCACCTTCTCCTCCACCTTCTCCTCCACCTTCTCCTCCACCTTCTCCTCCACCTTCTCCTCCACCTTCTCCTCCACCTTCTCCTCCACCTTCTCCTCCACCTTCTCCTCCACCTTCTCCTCCACCTCCTCCTCCACTTTCTCCTTCACCTTCTCCTCCATCCTCCTCTTCCATCTCCTCCACCACCTCCTGCTCCACCCTCTCCCCTCTCACCACCCCCTTCACCTTCTCCTCCACCTTCTCCACCATCTCCTCCTCCACCACCTCCTCCATCCTTCTCCTCCATCTCCTTCCATCCTTCCCCACCATCTTCTCCTCCACCTTCACCTTCCCCTCCTTCACCTTCTCCATCTCCTCCTCCATCCTTCTCCACCACCACCTCCTTCACCTTCTCTGTCCTTCTCCACCACCTTCTAATCCACCTTCTCCACCATCTTCACCTTCTCCTCCACCACCTTCTCCACCATCTCCTCCTTCACCTTCTCCTCCTTCTCCACCACCATCTTCTCCTCCACCATCTCTTCCATCTTTCTCCTCCATCTCCTCCTACCCTTCCCCACCATCTTCTCCTCCACCTTCACCTTCTCCTCCAGCTCCTCCATCCTTTTCCACCACCTCCTCCTTCACTTTCTCTGTCCTTCTCCACCACCTTCTCCTCCACCTTCCCCAACACCTCCTCCTTCACCTTCCCCACCACCTTCTCCTCCACCTTCTCCACCATCTCCTCCTTCATCCTTCTCCTCCACCTTCTCCTTCACCTTCTCCTCCACCATCTCCTCCATCCTTCTCTTCCATCTCCTCCCATCCTTACCCATCTTCTCCTCCATCCTCCTCCTCCATCCTCCTCCACCACCTCCTTCTCCTCCACCTTCTCCTTCACCTTCTCCTCCATCCTCCTCCTCCACCTTCTCCTCCTCCATCCTCCCCCTCCTTCCTTCTCCTCCACCATCTCCTCCTTCATCCTTCTCCACCACCACTTCACCTTCTCTGTCCTTCTGCACCACCATCTCCTCCATCCTTCTCTTCCATCTCCTCCCATCCTTCCCCATCTTCTCCTCCATCTTCCTCCTCCATCCTCCTCCACCTCCTCCATCCTCCTCCTCCATCTCCTTCCATCCTTCCCCACCATCTTCTCCTCCACCTTCACCTTCCCCTCCTTCCACCTTCTCCTCCACCATCTCCTCCTTCTCCTCCATCATCTCCTCCCCCATCCTCCTCCTCCTCCTCCCCTTCTCCACCACCATCTCCTCCTCCTCCTTCACCATCTCCTCCTTCTCCTCCTCCACCACCTCCTCCTCCTTCACCTTCTCCACCACCTTCTCCTCCATCCATCTCCTCTACCATCATCTCCACCATCTTCTCCATCACCTCCTCTTCCTCCTCCACCTCCACCTCCTCTTTCACCTTCTCCTCCACCACCTTCTCCACCATCTTCACCTTCTCCTCCTTCTCCACCACCATCTTCTCCTCCATCCTCCACCTCCACCTCCTCTTTCCCCTCCTCCTCCACCCCCTCCATCCTCCAGAACCACCTCCTGCTTTCTCTGCCTCCTCCTCCCAGTCCCACCAGCCCAGACCAGTACAAACCAGCACGATCCACCCCCCAGAACCACCCTGACCCAGATGACCTCCTCCACCTGGAGACCTTTTCTTTACCTGAGCAGGAGGAGCTGGAGGAGCTCCCACCACAACTTGGGGGCCTCCACCTCTTCCTCCTGCTCCTCAACCTCAGGAGGGGCTTGGCCAGATGTTCTTCCTCCTCCTCTTCCTCCTCCGAGCTCTGGATGGTGGGAACCCAAACTTCCTCCAGACCTGGGACATTTGGGGGGCTCAAAAGACACCAAAGAAACCCCCCCAGAGATGCCTCCTGGTCACCCTCCCAACCTCATCCCACCCCCAGGGCTTCCCAAGGGGTGGAGAAGAAGGATCAGCCCCATTTGTGGTCTCCATGGATGAAAAAACTGGGTCAATCCCAGGATTTGGGGTGAAAAATGGGGGGGTTGGGGTGAAAAATGGGGGTTTTGGGGTGTCCCAAGTCAAGGAACCCCCCGGAGATGCCACCAGGAGGAGGATGAGGGACAAGACCAAGGAGATGTTGGGTTGGTTTCCCCATTTTTGGTCTCCATGGGCAAAAAATGGGGTCAAGCCCAGGATTTGGGGTGGAAAATGGGGGTTTTGGGGTGAAAAATGGGGGTTTGGGGTGAAAAATGAGGGTTTTGGGGTGAAAAATGGAGGTTTTGGGGTGTCCCAAGTCAAGGAACCCCCCGGAGATGCCACCAGGAGGAGGATGAGGGACAAAACCAAGGAGATGTTGGGTTGGTTTCCCCAGTTTTGGTCTCCATGGACAACAAATGGGGTCAATCCCAGGATTTGGGGTGAAAAATGGTGGGTTTTGGGTGAAAAATTGAGGTTTTGGGGTGTCCCAAGTCAAGGAACCCCCCGGAGATGCCACCAGGAGGAGGATGAGGGACAAAACCAAGGAGATGTTGGGTTAGTTCCCCCATTTTTGGTCTCCATGGACAGAAAATGGGGTCAATCCCAGGATTTGGGGTGAAAAATGGGGGTTTTGGGGTGAAAAATGGAGGTTTTGGGGTGTCCCAGGTCAAGGAACCCCCTGAAGATGTCACCAGGAGGAGGATGAGGGACAAAACCAAGGAGATGTTGGGTTGGTTTCCCCATTTTTGGTCTCCATGGACCAAAAACTGGGGTCAAGCCCAGGATTTGGGGTGAAAAATGGGGGTTTTGGGGTGACAAATGGGGGGTTTGGGGTGAAAAATGGGGTTTTGGGGTGA